AATTGTAACTTTAACACATAACATAACACATAATTTTAACATTTTGCACACATAAAGTGTTAAACATAGTGGCTATATTATCTTCTGTCCATTCACCATTCCGTTTACCGTTTATTTCTTCTTGATAAAGTTGCGTAATCGAAGTTGTGGTAGACTGGACCTTTTCCTTTAAGAACTGCATCATTTCTGTAATCTATAAAATAAGATTTATTTTTAATAATAATGTATAAATAGTAGAATATAAAATTAGAAGCTTACAACAGAAATTACAAGAAATTGAAGTGCAATTTTAAAGATGCTTTTTATAACACAGTAACTTACTTGTATATCGGAATGGGCTGGTGGGTGGTTGTGGTCGACGTCTATTCTGCTAACTATATCGTTAATGATAGATGCTGTAGCCCTGCATCTCTTGCTTTTTTCACAGCACTGCCGTATCACTAAGTTGTTATTCTTTCTCTTATTCAGTCTATACTTAAAATCAGCAACACATAGGTATCTGCCACCTGTTGCTGTAGAAATAAACTTAGATTGTAACTGCATTAGCCATCGTAGAAAGAAATGAATATGAAATGTCTTGGAATGATTTACGTATTTATACTTATTATGAGAAATAATCACAATGAACTGAATTTCGATCACCTGTCAGCTACAGTTGAACTGTAGCCTATTATTTTATTAATTAATGAGTGAGTTGAATTCTGACAAAATTCAAGTTCATGTAATTTAAGTGAACTATATTCATTTTATTAATTAGTGAGCGAGTTGAATTCTGATAAAAATCAATTTAAGTGAACTATATTTTAATAATGACTGGTCCCTGCTTCATTAATGCTTTTAATCCGTTTTTAACCCATCAAAGAGTGCCGCGGTCGACTTTCCAAATTCTGTTGAGTCGGCGATATGGGAAGACTCCATTTAAATACGTATCAATCACCTATGTAATAGGAGTGTAGGAAAAGGGTTAAATACGCCATGTCTGTTCTCAATTTATGAATAAAATATTATTTATAAAAAAACATGTAATATACAACATACCAGCAATGGCTCGTGTAATATAGAATATCTCAGAAATAACCCATATGAAATACAATATATCAGAAATAACCGATGTAATATACAATTGAACTTTTGATTAGCAGTGCTGCTAATTACTGTGAAAAATTACCGACAGCCCTGGATGTATCCCCTAACTTGTTGTCATTAATTTATAAAATTAATTTGAACCTACACTGTTTGACGTCAGCTAATGTATGCTCCATTTTCTTCAGTCATTAGTCAATGTATTAGATTCGATTCATTAGACACTCTTAATGTTTATTATTGAGTTCGTTAAAAAAGTATTAACATTAGTGTTACTTTGCTCTTATTTTTTGAAAAAATTTTCACAAGTTGTTTTTCTTTATTTTGTTAATGTAGAATGGTAATGAACTGCTCTTTTCATTTTCTTTGTTTTATTTGTTTCGTTTGAATTTGGTTTATCTGTTTAGTTTTTGATTGTTTAATTTTTGTTAATGAAGTTGATTCTTTTAAACTTCGTGTTTTATTTTTGAACTCTACTTGGTGTAGGTGTTCATCAGGTAAAACCTCGACTGAGTTCAATATAGAGTTTAGCCGGTTGATTTGTTGGATATAAACCTTTGAATAATAGCGCCTAACAGGCAGCTGTGTTTAATTGTGTTTAATTATGTTCTCCTGATTTTGATTGTTTCTGTGTGTTTGAAGTATATGTTTGTGATATGCGCTTAGAAACACTTCACGTGTAATGAGGCGCTATATAAATCGAACAATAATAATAATAATAATAATATATCAGAAATAATTCATTTAATCAGAAATAACCCATGTAATATACAATATATTAGAAATAACCCATTTAATATACAACATATCAGCAATAGCCCATGTAATATACAATATATCAGAAATTACCAATGTAGTATACAACATATCAGCAATAACGCATGTAATATAGGTGTCCTCGCATTAGTCATACGGCCCACTAGTCATACGGGTTGACTACATCAACAACTACCTTTGTAATCTTTAGCATAGTATACATACATTTACATGTACTCCAATAGTTCACATCATCAATGACCTTTAAATAGTTCTCATCATCAACGACCTTTAATCTTTACCAGTTGAATAAAATCTTCATTTATACAGCGTCACATTGTAAAATTTAGAGTTGGCAGTGTCACAGTTAGTGCATACACCTCACAGTGTTTCTTTGGATTAGACCTAATCCCACCCATCACTGCCGTAATGTTCAAAATTATGACTGATCAATAGTTCGTTTAACAACCAATACCTAACTGCGTAACAATATCATTCGGGTTTAAACCAAAAGTCAGTCCTGCAAGGAATATGCACAAGTAACCAGCAGCATCCAGAAACTGAACAGAGTTTTTCTGACCTGATTAAAGTTGATCTCAAAATCTGATGAACATAGGCGTATGGGCTCGGTGACAGTTAGGGGGGTTGGGGGGCGGCAGAACCCAGAATGCCCGAAAAAAAAAATCGGGTTACAGTCGGCGGCGCCCCCCCCCCTCCAATTATAGCCTAATTAAGATATCGACTCGAATTTCAATCAACCAATCAATCGTTTACAGTCCACTATCGCAAATGCGTTTTCCTACAATTTCAGCCTTTGAATACAGCAACTTCAATGTGATCCAATATAGTCTACCTTTAGTGGCTGACCTGAATTTCCAACAACCAATCAATCGTCTCGCGGTATGGGTGCCTCGCCTTCCCGGAGAAAATTTAAAGACCGCAAATGCGTTTTTCTACTCTTCTAGTCCGTGCGTTAAGCGACTTCAAAGTTGTTCAATGGTTTTTTAACCGAAATCCCAGCCTCTGCCGACCTAAATTCCAACCATCCAATCAGATGGTTGCAGATGCATTCACAAATAATAATTGATGCCCGAAAAATGTCGCAGAAAGTGTTAATCCATAATTCAGCACAAATTCGTGTTATTCAATTAAAAAAAGGAATCTTTTGCCAACTAGATCAATTTTTTTTTCACATTACCCTGTAATACTATCGGGTAATGGATGCGAAATTGAATTAGGCGAGGACCTGATTTATAATTTGATACATAATATGTTTTATTTGTCTTCTTCATTGCCAAAATATTAACAGGGGTGTGGTAGGTAAATTTAGGTTTGACTGTCAGCCGGGCCCTAGAACCGTTGGCCCGATCCCCCCACCCCCAACAGGGCACCCTACCTCCCTTCACGTAGGGACGTCCGTCTACCAGTATCCCTCAGGATGATCACTTATGGATCCCGTCCGTTGAGTCTTGGGGTTAAACCTCGAGTTTTCAGAGAGTAAAACACTCATAATATCTAGGATACTAATCTTAAGGGGCCCATACACGTTCAATAATTCCGTCAATATTATTGACTCAATATTATTGACTCAATATTATTGACTCAATATTATTGACTCAATATATTGACTCAATATTATTGACTCAATATATTGACTCAATATTATTGAACGTGTGTGGGCTATATTGATGTAACCATCATTGCGTCAATATATTGACGGATCAAAACCATTTTGATTTTTATTGATGGTTCATCAATATATTGACGGACGGTCAATTTATTGAATGACAATATTGATCGTGTGTGGAGTATCTGTCAATAATTGCGTCAATATTTTCATTCCATCGTCAACCTTGGAAGAGTAAACATGGCATCCATTCTGAAAAATGACCATTGATGGAAAAATTGAATCGTGTATGAACAATTCCTGTCAATAATATTGATTCAATATATTGAGATAATATATTATTGGGTCAATAATATTGACGGAATTATTGAACGTGTATGGGCCCCTTAAGGCGAGCGTAGTCTACTAGAATATGAGCTGGAGATACGTCCGTGTCGCAGCTGAACCTTATAGGCTTAAAGGTACGGTACTGAGCGTTTCTTTCACCTTCAGCTTTGTTGATAACCGGCAGATTTTCCTACTGTGGTGATTTACAGATAACTTAGCATTTAAGGACTCATCGGATCTGAATCTGTATGTGTTGAGCTCCGCGAGGGAGATTTCCTATTCAGAGCTGACACTTGGTTCTTCCAGTTGTGACCCTTTTAGGGCGAGCCTATCCGCCTCTCCCTTCCCCGCTAGATTTACGTACGACGGGACCCATGTCCATACTATTTGTCTGCCCTTTGCCAGAGACCCTTCGTACTCTAGGTAGATCTGGGTCAATAGTTCGGGATTGTCGTCCGATCTCTGGTTCCTTATTGATTCCAGGCTACTTAGAGAGTCACTGAGGACAACAAAGTTTGATTTCCTTTGGCTGGATATTCACACTACGGCTTCTTTGATCACGTTCATTTCCGAAGCGTACACAGAGCACATGTTTGGCAGTCTATTTGGTACATGAACTCTTTTCCCGGGATATAAACCCCGAGACCCGACGTACCGTTCTCGGGGTTGTGCGATCTGTCCGTGTGTATGCGAGTCCAATTTGACCAGTTATCCTCAAAATGAGTTAAGGAGAGATGCTTGGGCGCCAATGGGTTACTCCCTTTATCTACCCCCAGGGCGAAGGCGGTATCTACCAAGGATACTGAGGCCCTAATCGTACCTTCTATACTATTGATGGTGAGCTTATCGAGACCGAAATCTCTAACTATTTCGCCGACTGCCTGGCAGTACAACTTCTTGATGTCGTCCCTGACCCTGGTAAACCTCGAGATTTCGCGAAAGGCAGGGCACCTTTCCCCCAGCCCCCAGCACATTTGTTGTCCTCTCAAGGGCCCTGCTTCACGGTACAACATACCAGCAATAACCTACGTCATACACAATATATCAGAAATAACCTACGTCATACACAATATATCAGAAATAACAAAAAGATTTTTTCATTCAGTGATTTTATACAGTGTTTTCACTCTCCAGAATGTTCTGAAGAGCTAAAACTTATCTATATTTATTGTGTGAAATGAACACAGGTGTTTTGTTTGAGTTTCGACCTCGCCATTCTTATCAACAAAACGACAATACGTCTGTTAAAATGAAGCTTCTAGGTAAGTAGTTTCTGTTTAATCATATCCACTTATGATAATAACCACTTAAGACGAGCATTACTGGATGAAAAACAAATTGTGTCTGCCTAATCATCTCTACATAATCAAAACAAAGTAATCAATGCAGCGTATTCATTAAATATTTGAAATAAATATTGTCATATTGTCTGTTTCAGCGATGATTAAAATTACGTGTCTATATTTAGTAAAGCTCGAATACTAGGCTACTAACAAAAGCTAAATCACAATACTCTCATTTCAGTTTTAATTGGAATCTTGTCAATCTATTTCCTGTATAACGTCAACGGGAATGGTGAGTAACATCCGTGACCAGTGACAGATTTTTACCAGGGGCCTTATTCACGACTTAAAATATTTGAAATATGCAGCCTTTTCATTGGTTAGACGTTAAAATCATAGTATAAATTATAGCTCTTGCATTCTTAGTTTTAAGTTTTTGTGAACAAGGCTATATGAGACTGGAACTTTTTATTTGTTTTATATTTGCATTTACTCTGATCTTCAACGTGTATCTGAAAATCTGCATAATTTGTATTTACGTTTCAATCTATTACAAATCTTACTACGTTCGTTCCTGTGGTTTTACGTCCACTTCCGCCAAGGGTGATATCGTAGACAAAAAAGATCTTACTGTATTCATTCTTTAATTTATAGTTCATATTCCTTCTTGGGGGTGAGAGAGAGAGGGGGTTAACGGCATTTCGGGACTAACATACTAACATATGGTTCAATTTTATTTCAATAATTTCCTTGCGCGTAGGGGTCTTTAGCATTGGGAGTAAAGCCGAGTACCCGGAGAAAACCCACGAGGTTGGACAGGCGACCCTAATCCTTGTCACGTACAACCGGGGAATCGAAACCACGCCAGATGACCCAATGATAGACCTTATGATTCGGCCATCCCCCCCCCCACTCCCCTGTACGTTTTGGAGTCTCTAAATGAGCTGATCGATCTTTCGGAAAAATCGTGGGCACGTAAAATAATATGAACAAATTGCAAAGTTTCTGAGTGAAAACAGAGGTATCGGAAAGTCACCTAACCAGAAAGCCTTATGTTTAACTGCCACATCTATTCAATAATTCGATTAGCAGTGGGTAGACCACTCAAACACTCCTTTCTACCATTCATTCACCAATACACAAACTCTATACATATCCGCTTTAAAGATATATTTCCTCGATTAGAAATGTATTCAAAAAAGTATGTTACGATCCAAACACATTTATATGAATGAATCATACAATGTCAAATGCAATTGTAAAACAACGAGTGAATGAGCGGTGTTACCATTCAATGTGTGATAAACAATGGCTAAAGAGCGGCTAACCTGTCCATAAATTTAATTTCCTGGTCACAAGAAAATTCGGACGTTAAGTATTATCGGTCGCATGTGCTCCAGAAAACATTAATATACCTTCAACGTTGATGCTTACCGAGTAAAACAAACGGGAAATGTTGTTTCAAGGCTTGTCCGTTTGTGGTACTTTATTAAACTGTTGCTTGATTTAGTTGTAAATATTAAAACTATTTTATTATTTTTAGACACTAGATTGTGGTAAGAATAAGACTACAATATCACACGTAGTCAACTGTTTTACAACACCGTGTTATCCTATACTCAAATGTGTCGGTAAGTATGCCTAATGTTGATAAATAAAAAAGAAAAATGTAAATACGTAAGAAATAAAATGGCAAATACAAAGCTTTTTTTATAATAATACACAGGTGGGTTGCTTACATGCTATTTAATAGAGAGTTGTGCAAATTCATTATACAAAATTTAAGCAACATTTTACATAATTTCTGTGTTGTTATAATACTGGATCTATCTAGATACATAAAACGATGCTAGTCAGTGAAGGTGTAACATTCACCTGAAACTAGATATCGTTTGAATTTATTTTTCTTTATTACAGAAAAATCTGAAAATTTGTGTTCTCAATACAAACCATGTATGCACAATGGTGTATGTCAACCACAAGATAATGGAGATTTCAAATGTACTTGTCAAATCTGGAACATCGGTCGCTACTGCGAACATTTTATCATACTGCCTTAAATCCTTTACTAACTACTCCTTTCCGCGTCAACTATCCGTTGGTGAATAAAATAAAGTAATCAAATTGACTACCTTCTTATTCTATAACTAAAATAAACGTTACATTCCTCGAATTACACCCCGTCTTATCTGTAGATGGGATTGCTGAGGGCATAGTTGCTCATGCCGGATCAACTATCAACAATAGACTAAATAGAACACATCAAAACATTCATTCAATTTTCCATGCAGAAGGCTGATATTATTCGGCCTTTTGTTTCGATTTTCGAAAAATGAATAAAGTCATACCCGCTTCCAGTAATTGATGACATTTAGCTCAACTGCATAACAAGCAGAATATTTTAAAATTGGATATGACACCATTTTGTTCGCAGGTGTTAATGGGTGAAGTCGGGGTCTTTACAAATTTAATAATATGTGATTTGGTACATTAACGCTTCACGGGTCTTTCAAGGTTTAGTTGTTATTGTTCTTGGTGATATGTAAACATTCGCTATTAAATTATGTACATGTCATTTAATATTTTATTTGTTTATTTTTGTCATACAGTAAGCGTTGTCCAAGAAATATTTTTTTCGTTTATTTTTGTCATAAAGTAAGCGTTATCCAAGAAATAAGTCGGCCCCAAATTGTGAAACAAGTTCAAATGCCTTTATATGTAAGAAAGAGTGCAAACTTTGAATGGACATTTCAACATGAAATTTCATTCCAAGCAGTTGGTCTTTAATAATCAGTACGTGTAATTGTAAGATGGAACCTCTGCTCAAAGACAAATCTTATGTCCCCAAGAGACCCCGCCCACCTTCCGCCAATCCCTTATATGTGGTATCCAAAACGGAAGATTAAAACATTCAAGAATTAGCTAAATCCTTTTAGTTCCAACTTTATGGTACCACAGTATTGTTTGCAAAGTGTTTGAATTTGCAGTCGAGATCAGGTTGAAAGTATGTTGTTTGTTAATTTTGTATTATTGACATGTTGTTGCTATCACTCATTTATAATTTTTAAATAAAAATACAAATGATAAGGTATCTTATATAGTTATTGTGTGAACTGAACACAAGCCCTGGGTGGTAACATGTCTGTTAAAATGAAGCTTTTAGGTAAGCTTAAAATTATGCTTAAAAACTGGTATGACATAAATATTGTGGCAGAAAAGTGGGACATTAAAAAAAATTCCATTTAATCACTCCGCCATTTGTGTACGATCATAATTTTGCAGAACACCGAAGAAATATCCGGTGACGGCTTAGATAAAAACAACTTCATATGGTTAAGTATCCACCACACGCATGCCGTTAAGACCAGAATTAAATCTTGACGTATCATTTCAGTTCTTGGAATCGTCTCAGTCTATTTGCTGTATGAAGTCAACGGTAATGGTAAGTATAGCTTTCCTCTGTGTTGAAACGGTCATTTTGATTTCTTTATTTTAAATGTTCGCTTAAATTTCCTGTATAAACATGATTTTATTACAGACGCGGATATCAAGCTACAGACTACCGTTCTCTAATATTCTGAAATATACTCACGAGCAACCGAGATTGGAAATATCACTAGGCCTATTATTGACATCTCAGGAACATTATTTCCATGGATAAAACTAGTGTACATTGAGGGCTAACGTTAATAATTATAGGCGATTAGGCCCATATATTTTAATTCGTTTTCCTTGGTCTATTTGTACTTTTATCGATTAAGATCGATTGTTATCGCTAGTATCGATATTTCTCCACAAACTTAAATGCTTTACTATATGAGTTTTGAATTCCCTATCCTTGGCATCAATTTCCTTCAATTCCCACATCTTTATTCGAACAATAAATCAAACCGCCTTGTTGAAAAGCAGATTTATCTGGATGGCGAGCAGTTCCTAGTCTTTTGTATAGTGTAAAACCCCCGGTTCATCCCTATAGCTATTGGTGTCCACGCTATGGCTGTAGAAATTCGAAGCAGGGTTTAAGTATATCCTGAAGGTTCTTCTCAGTCCTAGCTTGGATTGAAAACGTTATTTACTCGTGGCGAATCACGTTAAAGTCTGATTACAAACATGTTTCGGCTATATGTGCATGTGTTGCCAGGTGGAAATATATAAGTATATAAATAAATAATGACACCTATATACTGTTTCAGCGATTCAACCATTTACTTTTATACCTAATCAGCGTGAGGTGAGAATCATTATAAATTTAATGTACATTGTCCGTCTCATCAGGAATGAGACCAGTTTGAATCCCGTGACTTCATCCTGTCAGTTCATACTCATTTTGTCAAATCTCGACCAGTTAGAATCAGAAGTGTTCCAATCCCTTTGAAAAGGTGTACTTTTGTGTATTCAGAAGATATCGTATTTACGGGGTGCTTTATTTGCGAAAGAAAGAGATGACAAATTAAATAATTCAACTTCCGGAATATGCAAAGGATTACTTTTTCTGAATAATCTAATTCATATTAAATGCTTTTTTCAAGCCGTTCCTTCTATTCTGTGACAACTGAACTATGACGTTGACGCGATCGTGGGGAATTCTCATGCACAATATTTGGTGTACGCTAAGTGTTTTATTGACGACGACGACAAATAATCCTTGGTATAAACTAATCTTTACTATTGCATGATTACATCTGTTTTATTATGCCTGTTATTTGTAGATATTAAAATGTGCCGAGGGTGAAACGACTGTAGCATTGGCAGCGCACTGTTTTTTTTAGACTATGTGATCCGGGATTGAAATGTGTCGGTAAGTAACTCGTTCATTAGAATATATTGTATTGCAATGTTTCAAAATAATACAAAGATTTTGAAAGTTGTCGAAAACGAATTAAGGAGCGTGGTTGGAAATGGATTCATGGCGGGGATATACAGAGAAAAATATCGCAACACCCGAATGTTTATGCGCTCAAATGAAAGTGAAATGATAATAATTGTGACGTCCTACATGCAATGTAGTACATACCAGTGAAAACTGCCAATGTAGCACTTAACAAATCTACGCCGCAAGGAAAGTACGAAGCGCCCGCGTCGTAAAAAGCATGATTGGGGAAAGGGGCCATTACCATTGCATTGTGGGAAGTTTTAAAATCGCTGTGTTCACTGTCTGTATTTCTCAATGGAGCGTCGACAAATCACTACAGCGAAAAGATGGCAAGTTATGTCTATGAGACAGATTGTACGACATTTGAGTCGCCACCCCCGCGACCATTAAAGATATATTAGTTAAGAGTTTAATAAGGAATTGACCATTCTCGCTATAACAATTCAAAAAAAGAAAATATTGAAATTTCAGTCAAATTACTTTATTCGGAACGAAGTTGTTACTGTTGGAAGTTGTTACTGTTGGAAGTTTGTACTAGAAATTGCCGATCGTCAAATTGGCAGACGGCAGCTCCACCCGCATATTCTCGATGATCAAGTAACATTCTCAATGACTATGGTAACTCGATTGTCAGTCCTTTCATCGGTAGTCTCCGAGAGTGATTAACGGTAAATGTGAGCTTGGCCAGCCATTTATTGATTTCATAATTAAATTGAAGACTGTTTAAATCCAAGCTATATCCAAACCATCTGAGGGTCTACAGCGTTTATTTCTATAACATTTGAAGCCTAAAGAAAGACTTGCAATATGCAGATTTAGCTATTAACTAATGTACCTTTTAATCGTTTAAATTTCAACAGACTATGAAGTAAAGGACCGTAAATGTTCTTATCGACCTCGCAGGACGTCTGCAAGAGAAGGTGTTGCTCTTTTTGCGCCAAGCACTGTGTCGAAAGGGGAATGGTTAACTTACCTCTCCCTATCCCACCGAAAGAACAGATCGTAATCGATTCAAATGGGCTTGGTATGGCGATGACCTCCCTTGTCAACTTACCATAAGGTCGCACGACCATCATTCGAAAATTGCGTCATGTCGAATAATTCACTGATAGGATAAGAGTATCATTCTCTTGTTAATGAAGGCTGGCGGAGCACGGATATGCCGACGTAGGGACCTGACATATCCACAGAGGAACATCCTAGAGCAGGTTCTAAATTTAGTGGCGACTCTATTATGATATGTAAGCTAATCTCAATGACCAACGATACCAACGAACTGAGATCATGGACAGAGTTGTAATGGCCCACTTTGACAATCGCGTGTCATTGTTGATTTTCTGCGTTAGTAGGTCATTGCTACACACCTTGATCAGCTATAAGCACTGGTCTGATTAACCAGTTGAACATATCTAGGCCATTTTCGTGCAGAATCTTGATGTTTTGGACCAGACACTACACCAAGAATGAGACAAACTAATACAAGCTCAGATCCAACCACTCATTAAGTCAGTTAGGAGGAGAGCCCTAGATAATCTAGGCTTGTTGACCAGACACTACACCAAGAATGAGACAAACTAATACAAGCTCAGATCCAACCACTCATTAAGTCAGTTAGGAGGAGAGCCCTAGATAATCTAGGCTTATTGAGGCTACACCAGTTATTGAATTTTTACTGTTTTGACGGCTCTGTAAACAACTTCAACATAAAATGAAATGAGCTAAACAGGATTTCCAACTGATGTATACCAGCCATTGTTGTTTGGACTTGGTTTCGCCCCATTTTCCATCTATTAAATCCCCTACTTAAACTTTAGTTTTTGTCTTACCATACAGGAAGATTGAATACCTCCCATAACGTAAAATAGCAACGATATCTGATCAAACACTAGCACTATATTCGGGGGTGATGGCCGGTGTTGCTATACTTTTTGTTCTCTCTCTCTCTCTCTCTCTGAATCTGAAGATGATAATGATTTCGCACGCCTTCAGTAACGGAGATAGAGAGGGGAATTTAACGCCACTAATCAGGCCAGGGCATTTCGGAACAAAAGTACCTGGTGTTTTATGACCCCCATGTTTTGTACCATCGACCACAAAAACTACCGACGTATAGATAGCAGAATGAATTAAAACCATGATTACTATTCGTGTGTGTTTCTGATATACATGCATATGTTTTACACATGTTTTAATAATTATACAGAATTCAGTTGCTTTCTTTCTTACAGAAAAATCTGAGCACCTGTGTTCACAATATAAACCCTGTTACAATGGTGTATGTAAACCACAAGATGATGGAGATTTCAGGTGTATCTGCGCATCGTGGTACTTTGGACGTTACTGCGAAGAAGTTATCATTTAGCCTTTAATGTAACTCTGTTTCCGTCAAATGCATGGTGTATGACATCAATTAAAAAATATCAAAGGAATTTAACGGTGTCTTGTTATTCTATAAATAAAATACTCCACCTTTAACAACTCACGACCTCTCAAAAAATAAAAATAATTATATTTTACAGTGTTAGGTGCTCTTAGGGGTGTTTATAGATGTCACCAAGACATATTTTATGTTCTAATATTCCAAAAAACGCAGCTTATTCCGGCTACCAATATTAACTGTTTTTTTAATATGTAAAATGTTTCCAAATATATGCCAAGTATACCCGATCCAATGTATGTTTCGTTCCGACGAGCCTGCAAGAAACATCTTTATGAGCTCAGTATACACTTGACCGACGACTACAAACTACAAATGTTTTTAAAAACAAAAAATACAATATTTTGTTTGAGTGGCATTTAGCAATCGACACACGTAATTGTAATAAACACAAAAGCATAATATGGAACATAATTGCTATTTTAATTAAGGCAACGTTTCGTTGGGAGAACCGTGAAACAAATAGTGATGCATATTCACTGATTTCACTGCCCTCTCCATATTGGCGACGAATATCATCTTTGAGCGGCATTTATTATTAGCAGTAATAAACACAAAAACATAATGTGGAACACAATTACTATTTACTACTCAGCCCTATTAAGTAAATGATGATGATTATTCACTAATTTCACTGCCTCATCTCCATATTGAAGAGGAATATCTTCTTTGGATGCCGTTTACAAATTGACATACGTAATAAACACAAAAAACATAATATGAAACACAATTACTATTTTGATTAAGGCGATGTTTTGTCGAGGGTTCTCAAGTAAATGACGATAAATATTCACTGATTTCGCTGCCTTGTCTCCATATTGATGATGAATATCTTCTCTGAGTGGCATTTTGCAATTGTCGCACGTAATAACAAAAAAATATAACATGGAACACTATTACTATTTTGATAAGGCGGCGTTTCGTTGAGGGTTCTCTCAACGTTATCAAGCAAATGGTAATAAATATTCACTGATTGCACTGTCTTTCAGTGAATATATATTTTTTAGCTGTATTCTATAGAATAGGATTGGGGAACAAGCTCGGCCTATACCACCTTCTCCCTTCAACAAAACAATATAATTACAATTAGTTTACTTAAATACATGTAGTGTTATTAATTCATTAAATTATGAAAGGATATTTTCACAAATAAAAGATGTTGCAGCGTAAACCACAGAAGCTAGTAATGGTAATAATAACGGATGATTACAGTACTCAAATTCTAAAAATTGTTGCACCTTAGAAAATATTAAATTATTTTGAGCCATACAATACAAATTTGGTGTTACTGTATTCTGTTGGTAATGTATTTCGTAAATCTGAATATAAGGGTCATACCGCAGGAGAAAGTGATAAGGATCATCATAATTTTATCGACATCGGCAGGTCGGAGAATCGGTTATGTGAATTGAAAATTCATGTCCATTTAAATCACTATTTGATTGAATGAATGATTTGAACTCTTTTTTGCCAATATTGTAATATGAACTTACAAAGTGATCATGTTTTGAGAGTTTTTATTTAAAAATGAACAACGTATCTGACTTACGTATAGAAAGATCTAGATTGCACGACACGTTGAAGGAAAGAACGAGTTATAAAATAGATTAGTTTTACAAAAATAGTATGGATGTTTTTTTATCATTTCTTAATGAATATTTACTTTGCTTTTTGTTTAAATTACCATAAAGGTAATCGGGGTTTACGTGGTTGATTATTTTATATAGAAACATCACGGCGTTGTTTTAGAGGTAAGATACCAACTTCTTTATAGACTAAATTATGGCTAGCCCCCCCCCCCCCCCGCCCCACCCCACCCCACCCCACCGCGCCACATATTGTGCGCAAAGCGTCTAATTGTAATTATTCTAACTGGTTAGCTAAGTATTCCGTGCACCCATCCTAAATAGTGTCAGCATAATCACAGTGCGGTAAAATATAGGTAGTATATATTGTTTTGAGTGATTTTCTTCCTAGTTGGTACTTGAGTGATCTTAAGCAGTTGATGAATTTTTTAGACTTTATTACAAAAAGTTTCTATATGTATGTTCCATTTAAGATTGTTTTGAAAAATAAGCCCCAAATGTTTGTGATGAGATACTTCATCGAATCGTGCCTAATTGTGGAAGAAATGGTTAATGTTTCAGTTTTATCGGGATTAAAAGAAACCAGTCCTTTTTTGGTCCATATGTATGTTCTCTCAATATCTGAATTAAAAATTTGGGCACCTTGTGTAGGATCTTTAATCTACATATATAAAGATGTATCAACTGCGAATAATTTTATATTTGACTATAATTTATGACAACAACACACTGTTCTATCAATTAAATAACTTTGAAGCAGCCACTCCAAGAAGTCTCCCCTTAATACCAACAGCGTCCAACTTTCGACAGAGACTGGCATGCCAGACCCTGTCGAAAGCCTTACATAATGCCCATCACGAGTCTCATTTCATAAAACCACTTTGGAACTTCGTTAATAGTGAATTGTCGAGGAGGAAGATAAATATATACTTGTGTATTCATTTTTCAAACATTTAGAGACTCTACTTAACAGTGAGATCTGTCGATAGTTAGTACAATCTGAAATACTTCCTTTATTGTGGAGAGCCAAAACGTTTGCATCAGTAAATTTTCATCACAATAGCCTTGATTAAAATAGTAATTGTGTTCCATATTATGTTTTTGTGTCTATTAAGACTAAAATAGTCAATAAAGTATATATCGATCCTAAATATAATAGTAATTAATGTAGTACTATTTAATTTTGAATGCCCCAACTGTTTATAAAAAAATAGATGATTAAAAACCGCTTTGTATTCGGTGCTAAAACGGAGCAAATTATTGTGGATGGAATTACTTTGTCGAAGATTCTACTTTACGGAAGCGTATAGGGGTCATGCAAAATTTTGTAGAAGATCTCGAGATCCTGCGATCCTGTGATACTTTCTCGAGAACTCAATTTAATGTTCTCGAAATCCCCTAATAATTTTCTCGAGAATCCCCCATCCTGTGTTAACGATCTCGAGAATTCGAGTTAATGTTCTCTGGAACATTGCCATCCTGTGTAAATGTTTTCGAGATCTCGGGTATTTTTTATGTGTGCGCGTAGTTTTAACGTATTTTCAGCGCCCCACAACCTGTCGTTTGGGAGTCGCCCCCCCCCCCCCCACACACACACACACACTTTCCCGAAAACCTTAATAGCACGATAGAGCCTTCAGTTTTTAACAGATTTGTTTCAAATTTAGCGTAAAGCATTGGAGCCATGAGAGGACGGTCACTGTCGCTCTAGCGCACCTTATCGTTCTGGAGTTATTCTCCTTATCCGAAAAACTTGTTAACGCAATAGAGGCTACAGTTTTTAACTGATTTTGTTTTTCAAATGTGGTGTGAAGCACAAGGACCTCTCGATTTTCAGTACTCCGCAAACTTCTGTTCGAGAGATCCCTCTTTGTATTTCTTTAAAATATGTGACGATGAGAGGACGAACCCTATCGATATTCAGCATTCTGTGACCTTCCGTTCCCCCTCCCCGCCCGCTCCCTGAAAGCCTTGTTCACGCCATAGAGGCTTCACTTTTAAAATTTTGTGTGAAGCTTTGGGGTCATGAATTTTATTGATATTCAATGGTTGGCAATCTTCCGTTCCGGAGTTATAGTCTCCATTCTTTGAAAACCTTGCTTTTAACGGATTTTCGAAATTCAATGTTCCGCGACAAGGATGGCCCCTGTTTATTTTCAGCAATATAAGGTTTTCTGTCCCAGAGATACAACAAGCTCGTGAAAACGATAGAGATTAGCTTCTTGAAGAATGATAGATCCTTATTCAATTTATTAAACAACCAAGTTTTCCTTTCGAATAATCTGCTGTTGAGGCATAGATGCTGCGTGGGCGTATCTCCACACTTTGCGTGGCTATTGTTCAAATTCCTTTTGAATCATTAGTGTCATAAGCAGAGGAACCCTATTTATTTTCGGCGTCACTTCAGTCAGTTATATAGAGGGATAACTCGAGTTTTTCTTTTGCGCTCGTCACTTCAGATTGTTCAAACCTATTTTACGTATCTATCATAGCAATGATCTATGTATTAAAATTATATTTGGAACGTGTTTAACCAGTTCTATCACATATGTGATAATGACCGACACTAATGTTGTACTTTAAATAGCGGAGAGAATAGCAGTTTTTAGTCAGCTAAATATTGAACGCAGCTTATGTCCACAATATGGTTATAGCTATGAGGTCATTAGGTCGTAACAATGGACATAGTCATCATTATTTAGTTAATATTTTTATACAGTTGGCATACAAAATAGACTGGTAAATCGGGTGTCAACCGACGATAAGTATCCCGACGCTCGCAGAAAGAACCAATTACACCACTTCCGGTTTTAATATTTTAATATAAAAAAACAAGAGCATCGCTAACGCAGCAATATACGTCCACATTCCTGTTTTGTTTGATATGGTCCAGTTTGCATTGAGGGTCTGTGATATAAAACTGGGTTGTAGGACTGCTATCAGTTTAACATTTCGTTCACATTAACAGAACACCATTTTTATTTTAAAACAAGGTATGCAAAGTTTCAAAAGGATCTGTTAAGAATTGCGGTCTGTAGGCAAAACACAAGACACGCAAACATTAGGCGTGGCTCTGTCCCAAGGGGTTGAGCATGCACCAAAAATAATAATAGAGGTCAGCCTTAGGATTAAGGAATAAATATAAAAAAGTAGCCTTAGGCTATAAGGAATAAGTATAAAAAAGTTTTCAAGATGATCGATTAAGAAATGCGGTCTGCAAGTGACACACAAACATAAAAAAAGAAAATGGGCGTAGCTCTGCCCCTGGGGGTTGGGTATTCACCACAAATAATAGGGATGTTCCTTAGGATAGAAGGAATATGTATGCTAAGTTTCAAGGTGATACGATAAGAAATGCGATCTGTAGATGACAAACAAATAAATAAATATTAGGGATGGGCGTGGCTCTGCCCCTGCCGGTCGGAAATGCACCAAAAACAATAGGGATCATCGTTAGGGTATAAGCAATTCATATGAAAATTTTTCAAGACGATTGATTAAGAATTGTGGCCTGTAGGTGACACACAGACATAAAAAGAAAAGAAAATGGGCGTGGCTCTGCCCCTGGGGGTCGGGCATGCACCCTAAACGATAGGGATGTTCCTTCGGGTACAAAGAATAAGTATGAATAGTTTCAAGATGATACGTTAAGAAATGTGGCCTGTAGACGACAAACAAACAAATACAAAAAATGGGCGTGGCTCTGCCCCTGGGGGTCGGGCATGCACCAAAAACAATAGGGATCATCCTTAGGGTATAAGGAATAAGTATGTAAAGTTTGAAGATGATCACTTAAGAATTGCGCCCTGTAGGCGACACAAAGACACACGAAAAGAAAATGGGAAATGGGCGTGGCTCTGCCCCTGGGGGTTGGGCATGTACCCCAAACGATAGGGATGTTCCTTAGGGTACAAAGAATGTGTATGCAAGATTATAAGTTAAGAAATGTGGCCTGTAGACGACAAACAAACAAATACTAGAAATGGGCGTGGCTCTGCCCCTGGGGGTCGGGCATGCACCAAAAACAATAGGGATCTTCCTTGGGGTATAAGGAATAAGTATACCAAGTTTGAAGAAAATCCAGTAAGAATTGCGCCCTGTAGGCGACACAAAGACACACGAAAAGAAAATGGGCGTGGCTCTGCCCCTGGGGGTTGGGCATGCACCCCAAACGATAGGGATGTTCCTTAGGGTACAAAGAATGTGTATGCAAAGTTTCAAGATTATTAGTTAAGAAATGTGGCCTGTAGACGACAAACAAACAAATACTAGAAATGGGCGTGGCTCTGCCCCGGGGGGTCGGGCATGCACCAAAAACAATAGGGATCTTCCTTGGGGTATAAGGAATAAGTATACCAAGTTTGAAGAAAATCCATGAAGAATTGCGCCCTGTAGGCGAACCACAGACACACACACACACACACACACACACATACATACATACACACACACACACACACAGACAGGGGCGACGGCATAATACGTTCACATTATGAATGTGGACGTATAAAAAGTAATCTCTCGCTTACAAAAACTTTTTGCTTGTGTTACAGAGGGGGTTATTTCTGAATATATATTTGAGAATTATGGAAACCCTGTTGAAAATCGTTAGTCTCCCCCTTTAAAGAAAGGAATTCTCTTGGAAAGTAGTGTAATGGGGTTTAACGTCCACTCGAGACAAAGTAGGTCATTTCGGGACTAACATATGGTTCACTTTTATTGCGCGTAGGGGTCTTTAGCACCGGGGGGGGGGGGGGCAAAGAAAACCTACGAGGTTGGACAGGCGACTCTACGTACAAGCTAGGAATCGAAACCACTCCCCTAGATAATAAACCAACTTAATTGAAAAAGTCTATTGTGAATATCGCGTGATGAGAAATCTTTTCCGGAAGGACGTGATAATATATATATATATAGACGTTCTGTACGACCTAATATCTACGACGAAAATAAATTGCTTTGTGGAGGTTATATAACTTTAACATACAGTTCTACGTTATTCTACTTTTTAAAAAGAAACGTCTGATAAGCTATCTTTTAATTCCATGAGAAATGACCATATGTTCGTATTATTAACTTAGTAATAAGTCTGTAAAAATGAAGAATCTAGGTAAGAACCTTTTACAACATCAAATGCAATTAAATAAGGTTTAAACGTCCTACTTTTTTGCACAAAGAAGTGGGCTAAAGAGGACAGGCATATGCCATGCAGTGTGCTAAGAGGAAAATTCGTCATATTCCAACTTTGAAAAGTTCTTTTATGTGCACGAGAGCCAACACACGGCAACTTCATTTTACGTCCCCGACTGAACGACACGACACTGTTCCTTGACACATTTCCCGCTCTGCACCACTTGTCGGGCTAGAAAATTCCGTGGAAATCTCCCTGCCAACACGGAGATCGAAAACTCAGTAATATAATATCAAGACTACAAAAATATATTCTAAAGAAGATTATTTTTATCACAAAATCGTCATGAAAGTTAAATCACAATAATCCATTTCAGTTTTAGTTGGAATCTTGTCATTCTATTTCCTGTATGGCGTCGAATGTGAGTATAAATTTACATATCATATGGATTATGTAATGTTTCATTGGGACCGATTAAGCAACTGTTTGGAAAGAAGTAATTAAAATGCAGCAATAGCGGTACTCAAAAACAACCCAAAAAAGATAAACTTATAGTGGCAAGTTGTTTGAGTTACAGAGAATGGTGATTGTTAGTCTTGGTTGGTATCCAAAATATTCAGATGTTTGCTTAATCAATTTTATTTTTTGAAATATGTATATGCTTTCTCCTATAACTCCTAAATGTGTTATTTCTTTATCAATTAAATATTGGAAAAAAATTATTATACCGTTTCAGCATTAACCCATTTGCATCAGGTGAGTATTTATTTTTCTAATAAAATGCATGATTTGCTGAATTGCATGCACTATTGCATGGGGGAAACTTTTGTTCTGACGAGAGCGGGGTTTCCACCTATTCTTTCCAGAATTGCGATTTTAAGGATTTCTTTTGGGTACTCGCTACTGTGTACATAGGTAGGCCTCGGTTTTGTTAAGAAAGCGACAATTCAACATATTGAAGTGGTAACACGACGGACAAAATTGGACCATTTCGAATTTTGATTAGAAGAGGTTTTTTTGTCTGGACCAAGGTGTCGTGCCTACTTTCTTTTTCAGTTCGGCAATACAATCACTTACGTTAAAACGAATTCTACAATTCAAGGACATTATATCTGCCTATTGCAGGTCTTTGTTGTGGCTTCAAATAAATTATTCATTTATTCACATGAGAAGCCCTCTAGATCATCGGGTGATGATTTACAAACTTTAAAATGGAGAATCGAGACTTAGTCTCGGTTTTCAAGTACTATTACTAAACGATAATACACGACCTACGCTACATCTTCAAACGGTCATAACTTCGCCCAGAATAAAGTTCATTATAGCAAGAACGGCCAGTTCTTTATCTAAATCTTACATGATGTTCCTTATGTTTTAAAACATATAAACTACCGTAGCCCTTCCAAAGTCCTGATTACTATCCTGTCTTGTGTCGTATCCATTTAAAAACACGACTTAAAGGATCGGAATCCCCACCCCGCCACAAAGAAATAACATCGGGTGTCGAATAAAAAAATCTCAGCATTCGGTGTAACGACGGTAAAACAATATTATTCACCAAAACAGTGTGTTGTTTGTAGTCTATAGATTGTGTTGATGGTAAGACGGCTGTAACAGAAGTTGTGTTTTGTAAAAAGGATCCTTGTTATCCCCTGCTAAAATGTGTCAGTAAGTAACCATAATACAATGACAGATATCTTATAAATGCTACTATTAAGAGGGTCCTTTTGATTTAGGTCCCAAAACGCTTTGGGTTGGGTGTATCTATTGCTATCAAGACTTGCAATATCGCCAAAGTATGCGGAATGCGTATCATTTTTTCAGATCTCCTGAACTGAGTTGACATGAAATTGTCTATATTTCTTTATAAATATATTTCAAACGCACTACAGGATAACTGAGTCAGTTGAAAGTTGATTGGATGATATAAATATCACTGTCAAAGCACATAGTATGTGAATTTAAGATTCCATAAATGTAATTTGTCTGTCAGTGTAAGAAAGAAGTGCAATTTTTGGCTTTACTAGACGACTGACCCGAATCAAAAATCGGAAACGAGAGTTATATCCCTTTTATTATTAGAGCCCACGCATACAAGGGAGGCAATGCTGTTATTTTAAATCATATTAAATACATTTAGATTACATGCGTGATCTTCACACATTTATAATGTAAAATTTTATTGAGCATTCTACTAGAAAAAATATTTTATAATTCTTGGAGTATATTCAATCAAGTTGTATGAAAAGAATCATGGAAATTTTAAAATATTGGGGAGATAACTCCCATTGTCCTGAACAGCAATGGCTCTGTAAATTGTAAAGTGTAGTTTTGTTGAAGATCGACGTATTGGGGTTTAACCCATAACACGTATTTCTTTTATAATTAAATATGGTATCATGTTATTGTATCATTTGTTCGAGCCTATATACGTAATATTTGTACCAGCCGGGCTAATGGAAACATTTTACCGGACAACGGATATTCAGCCTAGGCCTACTCTTATTTGGAATTCAAACTATCAAGCTTTTTTTTACGTGCACGATAACACAAGATCTAGATATTCACCAACGACTAGATGCTGTTTCTTGCCAGGCTATCCTCCTTAATCAATTGACAATGGGAAACTACGCTGAAAAATCTCAGGGAACTTTCTAGTCCAACACTAGGAACGAACCCCGCACATTCTAGTAAGTGAGCCAGCATCTTACTCATTGAACCACCGTGGCTCCACCCACGAGACATGCATTGACTGGTTGATGAATGTGAGACAGTGAAAATAACATGAACTTCTACATACTCTGTACAGAACTCCGTTATATCTTCATTTTTACAAAGCAATCAACCTGTACAAACACAACATAACATAACAGATTGTTTTTAAATTTCAGGTAAATCTGAACACCTGTGTTCCCAATATAAACCATGTTTGAACCATGGTGTATGTCAACCACAAGATGATGGCAATTTCCAATGTGTTTGTAGAATTGGAACTATTGGTCGCTACTGTGAAAACTTTTTACTATCTTGAGTGTTATGTATGTATGTCCAGATACAAAATTTTCATTTCTAGCTCATCTAGAAATAAATAGACCATAGTGCAAAAATATTTATTTGTCAATCCAATTTTTTGTGTCTTTTTGACCCAGGAACGAACTATAGTCCCGAGGTAATTATTTTAATGGGCGTCAGATTATTAGGTTTTAGTAGTCTCTATCATCCAGAAAAAATATTCTCCGTACGTTGAAGACTATGAGGTTCTGGGTGACCGAGACTAAGGTTTTAGCAGACAATTTAGAGACAATTACAAACTAACGACAAACTGTTGAAATTGTCTTAACGATATTCTTCTATAAAGTGAACTAGATTCTGTTCCAGGCATCAGTTATTTTACTTTTATATCTAAATTCTTTACTCGACACGGACTTTACCGTACATTCTTTATCTTGTAGTTACAAGATGTACAAGCGGTGTACACTTGGCAGACTATCAGGGGCGGAACACGAATTTTTGCAGGGGGTGTGCGTGACGGTGTGTGTGCCAGCCAGGTTCCTGAGACAATTTCGCATTTGGAATTTCGCATCTAGTAATTTAGAATTTCGAATTTAGTAATTTGGAATTTCGAATCTAGTAATTTGGAACGTATGTTTATCAGGCCCATGCATCAGATAGGTAAACTAGCACTAATTAGTTGTGTAAAATTATAGGTCAAATCCGCCACACCGGCGACACTTATCTTCTCTGTAGAAGCCATGATGATTCTAATGTCACGTGATTATGTCGAATTTGGAATTTCGAATTTGGAATTTCGAATCTAGTAATTTGGAACGGGTGTTTATCCGGCCCAGGCATCAGATAGGTAAACTAGCACTAATTAGTTGTGTAAAATTACGATTTATTTAAATTCTAATTTTTTTAATTGAGGGGGAGGGGGCTGCCAAGTTGCTATTTTATTGTTAAGACATGAATTTGGAATTTCGCATTTGAAATTTGGAATGAAACTTCTGGGCCTTCGTACATTTTAGCATCATTTCCAAATACGCTAAGTTGTTCATTTCTGTACTATTTTAGAGGTGTAAATTCTCTCTTCGGTACAACAGACTTCGAATGATTCTTCAATTCTTTAATATACCTGAACATAAATATACATATATCGTCCTACAGTACTGACAGGCCAGTTACTACACTTAGTAAGGGATCCTAACTAGAGACTGCCTTCAATGTACAAATTATGTTATATTTAAGGAAACTCCGATAATAGGATAAAAGCAAACGTTGTAATTAAAACTGACATGTCGATAGATGAACAATGCATAAAGGGTTAAACAATATAATAAATCAACAAAAACAATAGATGGGATACCCAATGACGGCATCAAAAGTGGTGACAGGTTAACGACTTGCTAGCCAGTTGATCTTGAAGTGGTTAATTTAAGAAACATTAATTATTTTAGCAATTGGCAAATTATCACACCATTATACTATTGCGACCGAAACAGAATATAAAATCTATATCACTAGGTTTATAGCTTTTTGATGATAGAACATCGTCTTTAAGTTTTTGTATTTCTTTTTCCGAGAACTGGCATGGGGGCTGACACTTGCGAATGCAGAAATAGCCACGATGGCTCAGTGGTTAAGGCGCTGGCTCGTTAACCAGGATGTCTCGGGTACGCTCTAGGTGTTGACCGAGATAATTCCTCGTGATTTTCTGGCGTGGTTTCCCCTTGTCAGAGATGCTGAATAGTGTTTAGCCTTTCGGATGGGAGGAGTAACGAATACAACACTTGACAGTTGAAAATCGAAATAAGGGTGGCCGTAGCGCCATTGATAAACAAAATGAAAGAATTCGGAATCAGACGTGCGAGAGGCAGTCAATCAGGAAAAAAATGGGACGAAAACCTTGGGATCTGATAGGGTTTCGAAATCAAATTTGCCCCATGCAACCAGTAATATGTACGTTAACGCTCTGGTCAACTTTGTCGATGTCAGCAATATCAGAAGAATTTTGTTAACCAATCTCTCAAAGGGATATCCATGGAACTAGATATAAAATTGATCCCTTAATTTTTGGCTCACAGTAAGTCGGTCTGTGTGACGTGATTATGGTATATAGCACCCGACAAATTATGATACTGTGGTATAATAATATTACACGCATTGGTCAGATATGACTATCAATACAAAAATGTTTTCTTTCTGCTCCAACTACATGCTTAGCATCTTTAATAACATAGATAGCAGAAGATGGAAAGTCAATTCGCATAAATACGCCTTTAATAATTAATTGTTGAAATTATACGGTATTCTGAAATACTGTGTTAGTAAAAGAATGAGATAGGGTGATTCTTTGTGAATATATTTTTATATATACAATAACTGCGAAAGACAACGAATGCAGGAAAACACAACATGGTTCAGAAGTACAACTAGAAACAGCTCTTAATAGGTCAGGAGCATACACGTGATAATATACATCTTTAATTTTCCAGATGTAGGATCAAACAAAAGTTAGATACTGTGAACAAAACAATTTCGTTTCGTATATTTTTATTCAGCATTTTTTAAGAAATAAAAGAGGTAGAATAACAGTATAACAACAAAATCAAAGTAGACAAACAGACGACGTGGAATGTAATAAATAAAGATATACTGAGACACAAAGAAACATGGTTCTCAGAAATGATCAGCAAAACATGTTTTAAAGTATAGTAGACTTAATTTTGTTTTAAATAAAGCAGAAAGCAGATTAATGTAATAATTGTGATGAAATATATTCAGGGATCGCTAGTATAGAGGCTGCGACCATTCTTTTGGAATGCGATAAGTGAAACTTTCGTATACATTAGAGACTTTTGGCAAGTGGAATTTTTCCCATCCGTGTCATGTGATACGTTGCGTCATTGTAGGTTTGAAGTTTTGGTAGATTTTAGCGCCGCGTACATATGGGTAGCTGGGCTGAGCTTAGTTCTATTACAGCATGATGGCAGTTATCTACCAAGATCAACAAAGGTACTAGTCAAGTGCCTAGCCTACAAATTCCTGAAGGGAGTAAAGTCGCTCGACAGTCGCTGAGCTATTTAAAATTTAAAAAAAAATAGTGTCAAGTCTTATTAAGTATCTTCGACTTTGACTCGACAGCAATGTTTGGTTTCACTAATCTACGATTTCAGAAAGTATATACCCCTTTTACAGATTTGCAAGGTCCCACCTCCTGAATTTTAGCACGTAGATCAACCAGTATGCAGACAGACAGGAAAAATATGAACATTCCGCGAAAATCTCATCAAAAGTAATGATTAAATTCCAGTCTTTATCGTGGTTAAAATCACATCAAATATACACATTGATTCATAAAAACTCTACAGCACAACATTTCAACGTCTAAAATTGCTGCCGTATCACGTATGAAAAAAACACACGCACTAATGACGTCACACGCAAAATCGATACGGATACACGATACGGACAAGGAATTTACGCTTGCCAAAAGTCTCTATTATTATCAACATCTATAAATTAGTCTCAAAAATTTTTAATTTAAATTATTAATTAACGAGCTTCAAAAAGGATATTTGTGTAATATCAAATACGATCGTTCGTAAAGAAATAAATCGTTAATATTATCTGACTATAACATTATGTCGTTCCCATGGCATCTTGTAAACAAAGTTTTGTCTTTTCGCACCGCTGTATTATTTATAGAAATACCTTCATAGATTTTACGGATCCACTTCGAATTTTAAAAATATAAGAGACAGGTTTTTGGACAAGTTACTTAAGCCGCACTAAAAAAGGGAATTTATAAAACAAACAATAAATGCAGCATACCGATTAACATCTTTCCAAACACTCAAAGCACCTGTTTCCCTTGATATTTCGGAGGGAGGTTTTGATAGATTTAACAAATATGACGTGCAACCATCCTCGATCAAAGGTCATGCAAAGCCAATCTGTTATAATAATTATCAGAACTTTGGGATATTTTTAAAATTTTCATTTCTTATATGAATATTTGCTGCAATAAAACCTATGAGATAATATCTAATGTATTCATATATTGCACATAGTATATAGTAGTAAATATGGAGAGAAAGAAAGATTTAGAATTACAAGACATATAGAAAGATATATTCACAAAACATCAATTATACCAAACGGCACTGGTATATATACATATATACTCATTATAAAGTTATCTCACAACCAGAGAAATTGAACGAACGGTGTTCAAACAGTTCACTGTTATACGGTATGTATAGATATAACTTTGGTTTCAAGTTCTTAATAAATACTATATACTATATATACAAATGTTTGCACTAAATAACGTACTTTATACGTGGAATATATTGGAACAATAATTAATGTCTTCGGTTTTCTGTGATTAAGAGTACATCATTAATATCTCGATAATGGTTATTCGAGATACTACAAGACCTATCACTTCAGTTTGTCTTTTCACTCATCGGTGACGTTTTATTCCATGCGATACTCCTCCCCTGTCTTCACATTTCGTGATAAAATGAAAAGAACACAAGAAAACACACTAGTGAGTCTATTTTGTGTCTCTATCGCACATCTATCTCATGGCTGGTATTTTTTGTGGAATCGGAGACCTACTATCTGTTGGTCAAATCACACAGTTTGTCTTTAGTCACTTCCTGTTGCGTTCTTCGCACTTCATTGTCCTGCCTTCTTCCGAATATAAATAAAATTTAATGAAATATTATGCTGGCAAGACTGTCATAATAACGTTTTATTTTCTCAAGTTTTTCACGTCAAAAGTTACTTTTTACAAGCCACAGGAAGATAACGCAAACTGATTCATCACACCATTGAAACGTCCTTCAAAATCTTATTACTTCGTAATGTTATATCGTAAGAAATAAAATTAATCGGCAGAAAAATAGGAGCTCTGCATAGAATATAGTTTATCTATGGGGTTTATTAAATTGCCTGCCATGGAACTATGAGTAAGATTTTCCGACATTAACATGTGATCAATGGAGTCGACATTATCGTCCATTGGGGTTTCTGGATACATGGATTCTGGGAGAGCTTGTCCGCTGTATAAAGGACCTTGATTATCAAACTGGTGAAGCTGGTTATACTGTTGGCCATCATTCATAGACGGTAAACCTACAATAATAAACCAAAATAATAATAAATAATAAAATAAATAATGAATAATGTTAAAGGGACATTCTGTGCAAGAATAACCGTGTCAATTTTTCAATAAATATAAGAATAAAAGTTTAAAACATAAAGTTATAATGTCTTATTTTACATAAATAAATCAGTATGAAGAGTAAGATATTCGTGCAATGATATATTTTCTACTTACTTGGTATACCCTCATCACTATCGTTATTACCACCACAATCAGACGAATCGCTATCATCATCAGATTTTCGTTTTATTGATTTTTTAGATTTTTTGCCATCATTGTTATTGTTAGTTTCTACATTCTGTTTACGTGCGATCTTCTTCACCTGTAAAAATTAATCATAAATAAAGTTTCAGAACCTGATTTGCTTGCTATAGGAATCCCTTGCAAACTACAGTATTTTTAAACTGGAATCTTTAATAGGAATATCAGTACAAAAATGGTTCAGTTCCGTTCAGTTTACAAAGAAATGGTGAAATGAAATTCAAATCTGAGTGCACATTTGCAGTCAGAAATTTGGTATTTTCGAAAATTAGAAATCATGCACAATTATTTTAATACTTTATATATGATGTAAGGGGTTAGCCAATGAAACGGTCTGTTACGACGAGCTTTTGTCGTGAGGTGCACGGAACTGTGAGTAATCCACTAGAAACATCCATGCTGATTGGTTAATCAAATGTCTGACGTCATAGGGCCAAAAGCCGCTTGTATGGCCTCTGACGCGACCTCCCAAAACAACTGGTCAGATCTTTATGTAGTGTAGGACATCGAAAGTATAAAAACGAAACGAAATATAGATCTGTATTTTAATCCGATTGTTTTTAATGATACTACTGTCAACAATTATAGGTTACATTACCAAAGTAAATCGCAAAACAAGATGGCCGTAGCATGCAAATCATGCACAACCTACACTAGTCTCTATCATTCAGGCAAATATTCTAAGACTAGGGGGTTCTGGGTGACCGATACTAAACCTACACTAACCAGTACTTCAAATATACAAAGAATGATAGATAAATTCAGCACAATCGTGTAGCATTAATTAACTGGCAAATACATAATGATTGTAAATTCCACAATACCTTAGCTCTCTGATTCTGGAACCAAACCTGGACAACTCTAACACTAAGACCAGTTTCAGCTGCTAATGCTTCCCGTACCTTGTAAAAGAAGAAAAATCATAGGTTGTAAATAAAGAAAAAGATAAAGAAAAAAACCCAGAAATATTGTATCCCGGTTGATAGTACAGAAAGATTAGACAAATATATAGTATTTATCCTGGCATTTGTATAGGTCTAGACAGTGTATATAGTTTCAAGAAAAAAGGGCAATAACTGGCATGAATAACAATGCTAACGTACCGACAATTTACAGGGCTAAATAGCATCGCCAATGTCGTCATACGTGCCAATGGATGGAAAATTATAATGGCCGAATAAAACCAGTTTACCCTATCAAATGTCTTATGTTGAAATATTTACCTTTCGACATGGTTTAGGGTTAAGTTCAAATGCTGCTTTAAATTTTCTTCTTTGACTGGTATTTAAAATTGTGCGAGGTCGTTTAGGTCCTTTAGAATCTCTACTATCTCTATCATCATAGCAAAAATCACTACAATCACCTGAATGGTTAAAAGAAGCATGTTAAATACAAGTTTATTGAAAATTAGACATTAGGAAAGCCCGTGAAGATCCGAAAGGCTTGCATTATGCGTACATCTTATCAAAAATTTAGATATTTTTAATATTTATGATATGCATCACGGAATTGCGGGTAAAACTAATTAAATGAATGAATAAATACGTACTTTTCGGACTCATTGGTAAAATACTAAATTCTTTTTCAAAGTCTAACCGGCAGAAGAGTTGGCCGTCCTTAACAACAAATTCTTCGCCTTTCTGTAATTGGTGCCCGCATGCCATACACAAGAAACAGCGCAGATGATAAACAAAACCGGCAGCCCTCATAACTAACTCGTTGGCAGGAATAGATTGAAGACATCCGTTACATTTTGTTCCAAATAATCTGAAAATAAATTAAATCACAAAATAAAAATCTATGACACTTAAATCAACCCATATTTTAAAAATTACGATTCTCGCTCGTCAACTACAAAAAACCCTCTTTAAAGGATTTAGTGACCTGATTTTCTATCTACTTCATTTACTTCGTAGTATATAAACGTGTCAGCTATGTGGTATCAAATGTTTTCGAAAAAACTATTTTTCTCATGGAGTCATGCACATATGAAGGGTCACACAGAAAGCAAATCTTTCATAAATAATGCTATGTTGTTTGTTTTTGTTTAAATTGATATTATGGCGTGAACATGACCTTATAGTTTGTGAGTTATGTATCTCTTTTGACGTCAACATATTACGTTTAACTGATCGATCGGGAATATAGGAAGAAAGTGACTTCCAGTAGAAGCTAAAACTAAAAATTAAACCAAATACAATGCTCATAGATTTTGTTGCCTTGAAAGAAAAAATATTCGTGATATTTTTGTAGTTTGAGAACTTTGCTTGAAGATATAAATCTTTAGATATGAATAAAGCAAACACCTGTTTCTTCAATATTTTCAAATTTATTAAATTGTAAGACCATGTACACATATGTTGCTGTGTAGGTCGAATACAAGTGTATTTTGACTTCTTGATTAATTTATGCTTTGTTAAGATTTCGGTATTTGCTAGACTTCAAATTGGACAGTTGGTGTAAAGGTAATCGTATATATAGGCTAACTTGGACTCTTAAATAAAATCGATACTCTAGCTTAGTAAATATAAGAGAAATATATAGGTGTGAACTGGTACTCAAGTCAATATAAGAACGATTTAAATTCAGTCTTATAGTGGATAAACATTGAACGATATTCTTCGTCTATTGTCGTCCTGTCCAACACACCATGGAGAAAATATTCTACAGCATAATGCTCGAGAGTGTAAATCAATTTCTATGCACTGTATGGCCACTCGAATGTGTCACTCAATGCCTAACAATATTTGTAAGTTGTGACAAAGATTTATGAGATTATAATGTACATAAAAATATATACCAGACCTATAAGTTATATTATGTTTTAATGACCTAAAGCTCTTAAAACATAAGTAGTATTATGTAATACGAGTTGTAATGATTAAACGAAGTGGTAATGTTTCCGGATTTTTTCATTTTTTAGATAGAAATATAATTATCTAAATTATTGACCAACATTCGGTAGTATGAAATGCACCAAGAAATTTTTATTGTTTTATAACAATGTATTGTAACTATATATTAAAAACTTTTTGTACTGATGTGTTAATTAATCATCTCAAATAATTATGTTATGCCATACAGACTACGTCTTTAAATATACGACTAAAACTACGCGTATGATATATGGAATTACAATTTTGATACGGATTTATTAAAATAACACTATAGGCTTATATTTAAAATTACAATTTTAATACGGATTTATTGTAATAATCATAACACTGTGATATGTATAGGCCTATAGGAATAAAAATTTTATTACTGTTTTATTTATATTCAAACTGCAAATAGGGCTACAACAGATTTTCAAAAATATAATAAATATTTCATTTCATTTTATTTATGAGAAACTGAAAGAAACAAAATACTTATTTTATGGTAATTATTTAGATTATGACATAAAAAAAATACTATGCGTTTATCAAAAAGCCATTGATAAAATTACTGATATCTATTTTGCTACAAAGAAAGTGACCATCACTGGCGTCAAAGAAAGACTGAATTCCATAAAGGGATTAGCAAAGGATTAACCCCTTTCTTTTGAAGCTTATGATCTAACTATTATAGCATGTCACATATCAATATAACCAAGTCATTAGATTTTACCACAAAGATAAACACCGTTTCTTTAATCTGGCCGTGTCGTCAAGATATTGTGAGATTTATCAAGAATAACTTGAAATGGCGGTAAAATATTGTGCGATTTATCTAGTATAATGTAAAATGGGCAGATTACTATCAAACCACTGTGGTCTCCATCCATGTGTTATCTTAAGCGCCACAGAGCAGTCAGACTGACTGAATGTTCAGCGCTATAGAAAACGATTATTATTATTATTATTATTATTAAAATGAGCGGGGCATGTTAATCTCAAAATGACATTTAACCTATCGCGTGTGCAACAACTGGAGCGTACAAGTACCCAAAAAGTGGAGCCAAAAGTCTTTTGAGTCAAGCAGTATAATTTAGAAATATAAAGCCATTCTCTTTTCTTTTCTGATATTGTTGCCAAGGTGATCTGTGAATTCAGACCAATCTTAAGATGGATAACCATATTTGGTAAACGAGCCTCTGGATAATTCCCGTGGAGTGTAAACAGACAAGTTTTCTTTGAGCAATTTTTCGTGGTTTCATTTCGTTTTGTGAGATTTTTAATATTCTGAAGATCCCTCTGTGTTCATATTATAACGGTTGGTGAAGTTAGCCTGGAAACCGTATTGACAGTTACATGTGCTGATTGGTCAACCGTTATGTTCTGACTTTATTAAAAACCGCCAGCTATACACTTCATCAAACATTACATTGGTTACCAAACGTTGGCAGTTCAAATACACGAGAAAGATTCGCTGCGAAACGAACTTAAAACAGCACCAAAAAAAAAAATCCAACTTGTTTTCTTGATCTATAGAATTGATTACAGTCATATTAGTTTTAAAATATCAAATGTAAATCATATTGATATACAAACAATGTCAATATTTTCCTCTCTAGTATACAGAGTCAATTTATTTTTTCACTGCGGATCATTGTTTTTCGTGATATTAACGGAATATCGGATTACCGGTATCAATAACTGACATAAAGGCATCCGTTTCATAAAATGAGTTAATATTCAATTGAAAATGATGCCATCAATATCAGATTCTAACATTGAAGATTATTTACTCGGATTACTGACATAAAGCGTATACAATGGAGTTAAGGTTTAATTTTCTTCTGGTATATATACTATGCCCAGCAATCAAAAGCGGCAAAACAATATCTCTGATTGAAAATAAGAGAAAGCGTGCCATTTCTAGCAATCCAAAACGGCAAAAAGATATCCCAAAGTCACAAACTTCTATTGAATGGAGTTTAAGATAAAGTTGTTCATCATTCATAAATTACTTTACACGTACGACGTCTGTATTCAGAATTCGAAAGTTATTCTATTTCTTTATGAAAAGCTTGCATGATTGACGAATCTGGAGTCTGGACATCAGTGGTATCTTAACATAAACATTATTCAAACAACTATATTCTACTAGCACCCACTTATACTATAAAGAATTCACAAGTCATAAATTTATAAAAATGCAAACAACTTGAAGACTTCAAACAAAAATACGGGAGGAAAATCCAGGTTGGTGGGTTTGAAGTCAGTGTTTATCAAACAATAACCTTTTAGACAGAATGTAAGCGCTGTCATAAAATTAATCCATTAATACTTCGATACACAAGGGAAAAATGCGTTACGCAGCAAAATTCAAGATGGCTGTCATTAAATCAGCCATTTTACTCCTCGTTTAGCTTATGTATGGATGACAAGCCATATCGTAACTTAACTTTCAGTTTGTTTAAGACACATATATTTTATATGTAAGATAACGCGGCGGCTATCTTCTGAAAGATCAAAGAAAATGGGCAGTTGATTTCTCACTCAAATAACTGTAAAGAGTCTCGATTATCCATAGTTGATGCATGGGTGCATTAATTTTAAAATGACACAAAATAGTCAATTTCAAATGTATTTTTATGTTGCCAGTGGCATTTATTTGTGTTCAATAACAAAGCCTAATAAATCGAAGACAGATTAACAACACAAAATCAGAACATAATGAGGAAATCGTGTGGTTATGGTGTTTAAAAGGGTATTTGCATAAATTTGGTTCGGCACAAACTAGAACATACTATATTGTGGTTATTGAACATTAATGGCAGAACTGAGTAAAACATGTGAGTTAAAAACCAAATCATTAACTCCAATGACCTGTCTATTCTTTACATCAGGCTTTGACGCTTCCCAAATATCAATAGCACTGTTGATCTGTTGTCATCGTTGTTACGTTGAGTTTTGGGGATTACAACAATATATATTTGTCTACAAAAACTACGAACTAACTTGACTCGTGTTTAAGTAAAGCCGCTCATAACAGCGCCTTGTAAGAAGGAAAAGACAACTCATACATGACTGATTCCAGACAACAGATCCATTTGAACCAAGCGGTGTTCCCACAGTGCATCGCGCAATGGTATAAAGTTGGTGCTCAGTCGACATTGTACACAAATTGTTTGATAAAATAAAAACTTGATTTAAGCTGAAAGCCGTTAGGTTGATCGCTATCTAATCTTTTCCGTTACAACTCCCTCACGACAAGAGTTCGATACGAACTTTCAACAAATTATGCAAATGTTTCTCCCTTGGAATAATAGATCAATTATCCAATACCGCAGCTGTAGAGTATTCACTGCAGACTTGATTTATTCACTGTGAGACTACAATTGCCCGTTAATGCAAACTCTTTTGTTTTGTGATTAATACCGCACTCACAGAAATGCGAGCGTCGAATTCTCTTTTTGTTTTTGTTTCTTCAGACAATTTTCCTTATTTACAAAGTTGGAGTGGCACGTGTTCTGTGACCTTTAACAAGAAAGTTCCATCAACAGACATGGTATTTATTTATTTATATTCCCAACGAAACATAAAAAGTCATTTACATAACTATAAGCTTATAGTCAATCTAAATCAAAACGTATTTTAATCCGAAAAACACAGGGGGGGGGGGGCAAAATATATACAGAATTAAACAAATTTTAACCAAAATGTTCCAATTTTAACCAAAATGTTCCAATTTTAACCAAAATGTTCCAATTTTAACCAAAATGTTCCAATTTTAACCAGATACGTCCCATCTTCTTTGAGTGGCATTTCGCAATTGACACAAGTAATTACAGATATGTTCCAGATTAAAACATAATATTTAAGATTTGTAAAATTGTTTTA